TTCGCCATCGCGCCGATCGCCGTCGCCGCCGCCGCCGCTTCTTTCGCGGTGAAAACCAAACTGCGTCGTACTCCGCGCCGGTCACCGCGCCGTCAGATGGCGCCACCAACTGGAACGATTTGGATCCGCGCCGATGCGCCACGTACCGCTCCGCTGTAATCAGCGTCGTTATATCTAACAAATTAATGATTCTCGTAAATTGCAAATTGTTTGTTCTTGATTTACCAAAAAACTGAAACTTTTCCAGAATCTAAATCGCGCAGTTGATTTTTTTAAATAATTACTTGGCGCTCGAAGAATTCCATCATTTAAATAATTTTCTTGGTGCAACTTGTCGATCGTTTCTTTTTTTTTAATGTCCCTTAACGATAACAGTCTCGTTATCAATTGACGACTAATGATACAGAGTAAACAATGCACAGATACAGGGAATTGCGTGAACGACGCGAGAATTACGCGAGTCGTAACGCGCGGGACACGAGGTTTGAGGGAAACGTAATGAGCGAGCAAGTAAAACGAGGTTTATCTTACTTCTCCGGCTCTCGTAATTATCTATTATGCAATAACGCGGTAATGGTTCGCGTCTTGTTCTTAACGCCTCCTTTATTCCCGGGTACCACAGCCACCAAAGTTCCCAGGATCGCGCGTCGCGTTTTCGTGCACGTCTCCGCGAAGCACTCTCAGACGCACGTTGTGATTTAAATTAACTGTGCACCTATCCGAATTTAATTAAAGGCACCTTGAGCTTTTTCTAAACAACGCAGGTGGTCTTCGGACGTATACGTTTCGCACTCGGTGTAATCGTCGCGTATTTATCTCGCGAAGTTTCGATTAAAAATCTGTGATTTTACACGCCGGAAAACAAGAGAGTCTTTCAATATTGTCGATATTTCGAAACCAAATGTATATTTTAATAAAAGTTCTTTAATCTTGTTAATAAACGGGTTGCTCTTCTCTTACAAAATAATTGTACAATACATTGTTCGAAATAAAACTTTTCAGATACGGAGCTTTACAATAGGATTTGAATTCTGTTTACACCGGATAATTTTTAATGTATAAAAGAAAATAATTTTTCATTTGAATGTTAAGTTTTTTATTAAAGCAGAGCGCAGGAATCGGAAGAGATTTTCCTGGTTTTAAATATTAAATTCTATTCGTGAGAAGTTTTTCTAATTTTAACATTAAATTATTCTTATTAATTCTATTATTATTATTACTATAATTATTAAGATTGAAGTGTATATTCGAAAGATGTACTATAATGAGGATTCTCCGTCTTTGGCTTTTCCTCGTCGTGAGACCTCTTTTACACCGACCTCGCCCACACTCATTTCGCGTCCTATCGGACACGCGGGAGCACACGGAACGGCGAAATTCCACGCCGCGGAATTTGTAGGAGGTGGCGAGAAGGGAGAGACGCGCGGGATGTGGGATGGGAGGGAAGGTCGAGAGCGTTGTCGGAGCGGCGGGCCTCATTCGCGTGCGGGATTAAAATTCGAGTCCCACGGTATACGGTAGTCGTTGCGTTTCTCTCAGACACGATCGTCCCGGGTCCTTTCACGTAAGGACGAGAGAGGCGCGTTTAAGCGCTTCGCGGAACCCTTTTTTTTCCAGTCTTCTCTCCTCCCTCCACCCCTGAACGTCACGCACGTGTGTATGGCGCGGACCACGGCAGTATACACGGCGACGCACACACGCGTCGAATCCTTCGTGAAATAGCGGATCTATGGGAAAAGCATCCTCGGCCTTCGAGAGATCACCTCTCGAGGATCGACGGCCGCTAGAAATGATGATGATGAATGCGTAAAGTAGAATGAGACGTAAAGACTCTCGTCGGAATCTAGCACGCGTTCCTGTTTCCTTTTTTTTTCGATTACAAGATCTCGTGATGATGATACGAAGAGCGACACGAATTTTCAAGCAAAAATCGAGACGATTGTAATTTCGACGAGTTCAAACCTCGCCTATCACGATAGATACGCAGGAGAGAGAAAATCGACTCCTCGCCAAACGAAGACACCTTCCTCTCAGAAAAGTTACGAGTTTGACAGGATAAAGTATTTCTCGCCGAGCCACAACGAAATTACGCTAACGGAATCGAATTGCGAAATCCTGCATCTTGTTCGATTAGCACCGCGTGCCAAGCAATTTACGTAACTTTCAATAGAGCGAGATACCGTTGCGGGTCGGCCGGATTTTGTCGCCCGGTGATCGACAACGGGAGATGATGAATTAACGCGCGCATAGAAAAGAAACGGCGTGACGAATTCTCGCGGTCATCAAATGCGCGTCAAAAAATCTTGAAATTGCACGGAGAGACGACGACGAAGAGAGAGTGTGTCGCGCACTTCGCGGACACGCTGAGAAACGGTGTGACATTACTCCGCGCCTCATCAGGCAGATAATCTATGCGATCTCCTGAGAGAAAATAATACGCGACATACGCGACGGTCGCAGCTGTCGTCGCCACGTGAGGTTTAAATTACCGTCGGCGAGAATAAAAATCGGAAAATTACACTTTGCAATGTAGCGGTACGTTACGAGCGTCATTCATTGTCTTTCCATATGCTTTCAATTATCCTCTGCTGTGCGTTGTTTCAATACCGTCCACCGTTTGTCGTGCGAGCGTCGTTTAACATTTTTATGAAAAATTAATTTTTGCTCGTCTCAATGCACCGTGCGTGAGTGTCTCGTAAATTAAATTCGCTTGTTGAACATCTCTCGTTCGCACAAACGCGCGATTTAGAAGAATACAAACTATTTGCAATATTGATTGCTGTCTGATATATTAGCATATTTCGTAAATATCTTTTGATTTATTGACGTAGCTTTTCAATAGAACTATTTGATACTCCAAGTACTACTCTATCGTCTCAGATTCTTCACAATTTGGACCCACATGTCTTCTTTTCTTATTAAACCGATCAAAATTTTAGACTACCTATAATACGAAACTGTATTGTTTCTTGCGCGGTTTGTAGATACTGTTTACTTAACAAAAAAAAAAGAAGAATGTTTTACAAACAGCGAGTCTCTTTGCGAGACCGAGGTACCAGTCGAATACCATGACAGCGCCGAATCGATTCTATCAGGGAGAACAAAAACTTCGTGGCAGTGCCTATTATATCTGCCGGCGCGATCGCCGACATTCTTTATTTTTGCGGTTGGCCCGGGGCGAAAAATAACGACGTCGTTCCCGCGGATCGAATCCGGAGTGTCGGCCGGCGCGGTTACACGGCGCGCGGCGGTGTGTCCGCCACCGCTGCCGCCGGCGAGTGCGTCGTCTCTCGTTCCCGGTCGTGTGCGTGCGATATACACGGCGGCGCGTGCGCGTGCTTGAAGAAATATACAACTGGACGCGAACGCGAAAAGCGTCGCGGCGCTGGGCGTCCTGCGTTACGTCGAGCTCCGTCGGAATGCGTAAATATACAAGCTGCGAGGCGAGAAAGAGCGAGCGAGAGAGAGAGAGAAAGAGACAAACTTGCGCTCTATATACACGGCCACCCTGAATTTATAAGAAGCCGTGACTCCACACGAGCGCGATACGTGACGTCCGTGTGAAACGTCGAAAGCGTATCGCTAGATTTAATGTTCCTCTCGGCAGGATGCGTATCTCACCGAGAGAGGCCGAGACGAAAAGTTTGACCTTTGTCGAGTAACACGATCGCGAAATCGCGACGGAGAAACAGGGAACATCCGGTTTTCCAGTAACGTTTACCCAGCGGAAACAAAAGAAATCGCACGAACGAATTAAAATGGCACTTACACATAGAAAGATTTTTGTACACATTTCTCAACACCAAATATTATCATTTTCGATAATCTCTATATTTTCATACGAGCATCACTTTTGTACGAAGGCTCTCAGTTTCCAGCGAAACATAAAATTGATTCCGCGAGATTGACTGGAATTTGCCGCGAGATCAGATTATTCATGTCGCTGAGGTTTTCAGCGCAGCATAATGACAAATCGCTAAAACTCGATCCGCAAAAAGCGGATCGTTAATAGTTGGGTACGCGAGAGAGGAAGACAGATCGAGAGTATGTGTATACATATCCGTCGGGATGCAAGGTTAAATCCTTAACGCGTTTAAGTGCAATCTCGCTTGGCTAACAGGCGAAGCAGAACTAATTACCCGCTACATTAAGCGTCATCAATCAAACCTTTTTATTTATCAGCCGTTTTTTGCGCATTCCATTTCACAAAAGTAACGGAACGCGAACGGGACGCGTGACCTTCTACGGTTGACAATATAGGAAGCGTTTTTTTTTTATCGCGGCGTGTAATTACGGTCGAATAAGGATAAACGTTCCCCGTCCACCGTCGGCAATTGTGCGAATTGATCGACGATATCGCGTGTTCTTTACCGCGTGATTTGCGCATTTACGTAATTTCCCGCATAGGCTAAACAGTGTAATCTTGAGTATACCGTCGGTTTACGAACGCCGCGAAGAATGTCGTAGGAAACCGCCTCGGAAAAATTCTCTGTCCTTTATTTTATCACACTTTTATAGCGTTTTTCACTGGCAGAGCTGGTGCGCAATCAGTGCGCACATTAAAGCCGTTGTACACTGATTTAATCTCTAATATTTAAAGTAAAATGCAAATATTTCGACTGATAAAATACCCAGTACATATTTTATCAAATAGTGCAATAAAGAATATTGAGGATTTCATGATTTAACCCGTTTATATTAAACATACACTTTACGTTGGTTTGTGTACGACGGCTTTAATGTGCACTGAATGCGTACCAGCTCTGCCAGTGAAAAACGCTATTATACTACAAATTCTGCTCAAAAGTTTTAAAAATTTATAACTAATAACTTTAATTGATTTTGATTAATTTTCTCACAAGCGAACTTATATAAATTAGTGTAATTTTTGTTAACGCAATTTTTCACAATTAAATAAGTCGCTGCAATTACCTCGTCGCGTCGACAGAACGATTCTTTTGAGTGCTAAAAGTTTAATCCTTCTCGTCTTCTGTTCGCAGGACTCGCAGAACGGCCCGGTGCTGGACCGATGGAGTATCTGCTCGGCTGAGGAGGAACCGCTGGTCCTGCAGCAGTTCCTCAGGTTCGCCGAGACGCGTCCCTTTGTGCAGCAGCTGCTGCTGGCCGCCGGAACGCCGGGTACGGATGCTATGTCACCAAGCAGACGACCTTCGCCACCGACGATGCCACTAGCACATCTGCCACCTCCGTTGCATATGCTTCACTGTGGCCTACCACCGCCGGGTTCCCGGCTGCCACCTCCGCTACCACCTCCGCCGCCGCCGCCGTCGTCGTCGTCGATCTCGCATCCCTCGATGTCGCCAACGGCGCAGAAACACTACTCCTCGTCGACGGGGAATCCCGGCGGCGGTGTCAGCAGAGCAAACTCGCCCCCGCGCTCGTTGGACTCGCATCTAACGGTATCGCCATTGAATCGGCTGCAGAGCATGCAGCCGTTCGACTTCCGGAAGCTTGGCACCCTCGGACTGCCGGCGTTTCCGCCGTTACCGCCGCCGCCCCCATCCGCGGAACAGATCCTGCAAAATCGAAAGTCCATGAGGAATCCACAGAGTCCCCATAGTCCGCCTCATCACTCGTCCGCGGCGTCACAACTGCAGAGGCCGCACATGCCTGTCGCGCCAGTCTCCTCGTCGGCATTGACCTTCGGTCATCCGCTCTCGGTTGCAGTTTCTTCCGGGGCGCTACCACCAAGCTTTCCAACGCACTTCCCGCCACCGCCGATGGGCAAATCACCCGGCAGCATCGGCGGCGGACTTACCGTGCCCGGGGACGTGCACAGCGGCGGCGAGAAGAGCAGCGATTTCGGCTCGGAGGAGGACGAAGACGACGATGAGAACTCCGACAGCGCGTTGAACCTCAGCAGACGAGACTCCGCTATGTTGAAGCACGGGATTTCCTCCGAGCAACGGCATCCACCGCCGTTATCGCTCCAGGCCACACCGTTGGGCAGGCCGCCCGGTATACCTGGCAGGAAACCGCACTCTCCGGGCAAGCGACCGGGCAGCCAATGGGGCGCCGCCGCGAACATGCCGCCGAACCTCGGCACACCCTTCATCAATCCCACCACCGGCAAGAAGCGCGTGCAATGCAACGTCTGCCTGAAGACCTTCTGCGACAAGGGCGCCCTGAAGATCCACTTCAGCGCGGTGCACTTGCGCGAGATGCACCAATGCACCGTCAAGGGTTGTAGCATGATGTTCAGTTCGCGCAGATCGCGCAACCGACACTCCGCGAATCCGAATCCAAAGCTACACTCGCCGCATCTACGTCGCAAGATTTCACCGCACGACGGTCGCTCGTCCATGGCGCACGCCTTGGTACTGCCGCCGCAGGTGGGACTTCCGGTACCAGCTACCGGACTGAATCATCTGCCCTTCGGCTCGTTTCCGTTGCTCACACCGCCGCCGGATCTCCGCTCACCGGCGTCGCTGTGCGCGCTAGACTTCAAGCATCTAGATTTGTCGTCGCAGGCTGGTCAGGGTAGACCGTACGACGATGCGCTGCAGCAAAGAATGTCGAACACGTGTCTGTCGACGACCACGGCCTCGACGACGATGCCGGTGCCGATGTCGAGCGTCGCGGCGATCACGACCACAACAATGGCGCGAGGTTCGTATTCCGGTGGCGGCGCGTCCATTAGCGCGGTCTCGCCGTCCACTCAGGCGTCGTCCATGATACCAGAGGGTGAAGAGGACGATGACGACGACGACGGCGGTATCGTCGTAGTCGCAGAAGACGAGACCAGCAATCTGCCATCGAGGTTGCAGCGTGCCGACGACGACGAGCAGCCGGCCGACTTCAGTTTGGCGAAGCGGCCGAAGCTCTACTTCGGCGACATCGCCGACGAAGACATCGCCAGTAATCCCGACAGCAACGAGGACAACGATTCGATGGGCACGATCGACCAACAGCCCTTCTCCGTGAACCAACATTCGCTCAACTCGAGTTCCTTCCACAGCCGGGGCGTGCGCAAGAGGAAATCTCAGCATCCCACGAGGTGCGCTGTGCCGGCGGAAGTGCACTCCTCGTCCACCGATGGCGACTCTTCCAACGACGAGGAGCAGCGAATTCAACGGCGGTGTCTGTCGGACGGCATCGTCGCGCCAATAGCGGATTTTCAAAATCAACCGGAGGACATGTCGATGTCGAGGCTCGAGGCGGAGGAGCGGAAGATGCTTCCCGGCTCACCAAAGAATCAAAAAGGTGGCTTTCACGATCGCGAGTCGAACTCGCGCTCTCCGGACGTCGGCAACAGAGAGCGCGAGGTCGCAGCTAGCAATCGACGCGACACGCTCTCCTCTCAAGACAACGTGGAGGAGCTACCTCAGGACGAGCCGCGTGACTTAAGTTCGAGGGCGAGCTCGGTTAAGTCTCCGAAACGGCAGATTACCCCGGAACCAAAGAGCGACAACGCGCCGTCGTCGAGTACGACATCGAGCGGGGCGACGACGGTGACGACAACAACGACAACGACGACGAAGGATCCTGACGCGACGTTGTCGGAACTGAAAGATCGACGACTGAGCGCGGAAAGCGACGAGACGACGACGAGGGTGAAAGACGAGACGATCGCGAAAAAGGAACACGCCGAGGTGACGCAGGAGGACGGAAGGCCGACGAGCAACGAGGTGCACCAGGAGGACGAGGAGGACGACGATGATGAGCCCATGGAGGAAGTCGAGGAGGATGAGGAGGAGGAGGAGGAGGTGGACGACGCGCTGCGCAATCAAGAAGGTGAGCGTCCCGATGATCCCCCCCGTGCCCCGAGCTCGGTCGACAGCCGTCCGACGACAGCCGACGACCTCTCCCACGACTCCTCGACCAACACTTTGCGTCAACTCGAGTCCTTGTCGCAGGGTCGATGCGCGATGCCGTACGCCGAGACGCAGCGGGAGGCTTCGAGGTCTGGCCGCGGCTCTACCAGCCCTATCAGCCTCACGACCCACCAGGAGATCACCATGGACAACTCCTCACGTGGCTCTCGTTCATCCAGCGCCTCACCCTCCACAGCGGCCATGGATACGGACAATAGCCTGATCACGTACGCGCGCTACGAGAACGGCGGCTTTGTCAGCACCCAGGAGGTGCCGCTCGACCGTGAGAATCCGCGCCGTTGCACCGCCTGCGGCAAGGTCTTTCAGAATCACTTCGGCGTAAAGACCCATTATCAGAACGTCCACCTCAAGCTGATGCATCGCTGCAGCGTGGACGGCTGTAACGCGGCCTTTCCCTCGAAACGATCTCGCGATCGCCACTCGGCAAATCTCAACCTGCACCGGAAACTGCTATCGACCTCATCGAGCCCGCCACCACTTTCCTCCAGTCTGCCGTCGAGCCTGTCACCGCGCGTCGACGACTCGCAGATGAATCCGCTGCTGCACAACGAGTTCCTGGCAAGACTCTACGCGGATGCTAGTATCGGCGCGTTGGGTGCATATCCCTTAGCACCCGGACTGCCATCCGCGGTCGACTTGGCAGCTCGGATACCACCGCCGCACCCGCTCCTGCTGCCGCCGCATCTCGGCGCCACGTTCCCGGGTCTGTCCTCATTCGCGTCTCACTTAGCCGGCCTGAACGGCCTCACCCATCAACATCTAAATCACCTGACGAGACTGACCCAGGAACAGGGAAACAGGCACGCATCCGTCTCAGGCTCGCCCGTGTCCTCGCCGGGGTCGGACGATCGCAAGGAGGAGGCCAGGTGCACCGTACCCGGGTGCGAGCGGGTCTTCGGCTCCCGGGCCGTACGGGACGCGCATTCCAGGGACCCTCAGGCTCACCGTGACCTGCCGATCTTGTCCTCTAGTAGCGGCTCGTGACCGATCTCGTTCTGCGGCCGCAGACACGATTATTATCCTCTACTGTGATGCCAAAATCTTAACTCGGCGACTCGATTCGGCCGATCGATCACCGATGATCTCGTTTTTGATTAGGATCGGCAGATCTAGACGCGGTCTTCCCCACGAACGGGGCACGCTCGTTGCCCCTATTCGAACGTTCCATTCGAACGTGCGTAAAAACGTGCAATATCGAGCGGAGTGCGTGCGGAATGATCGAACCATCAACGTGGCCGACATGAAGCGGTCTCGTTGATCAACGCCTGCCCATGGAGTAAACGAGCCAGTTCCAATGCGGTAATATCTGCCTGCCAGTTTTTCCCATTTCTCAGACTTATACGTCAGAACGCAACACGCGAGTTGTTGGGCTAATCTAGTCAATTTGGAAATCTCGATTTCGTGCGTTGTCGGAAACGACGGTAGTAGTCGCGCGCTGAATTGCTGCCGGTTTATTTCGCTCGATTAATCGGACTAACATGCAAACTATTATGTGAACTAGCATCAATCTTTAAACTCGTAATAATGATGTTGAATTATTAAATCAAGAGAAATTTGAAGACCGCATACGTTTGACGAACTAAATTTTTCAAAAGAAACAAACGATTATTATAGATTTTTATTTGAACTAGAATGTTTTTTTGTAATGATACGCGGAAACACATCGCATAAAACATATTTTCGCTTTTTGAGCAAAATTAGATAATTTTAGTTTAAAATTGAAAAATTAGAATCTATACTTAAATATTTTATTATTTGTAATGTTTAAAGGAGAAACAATTTATTATTTATTCACTTTTGTGGATAACTTATTTATTTAATTTATTTAAATTTTATTGTAATTGTATAAAAAAAGTTCTTATTTCTATATTTTTATATGAATTGAACTTTTATTGAATTGTAAAATCAATGTTTTTAATCATGGAAGAATAATAATACACTAGAACATAATTATATGTTTAAATAACTTTTCTTCACTAAAAAAAAGTAGTATGAGATTCGGGAGTACTATATGTAAAAATATATTAAAATTATTTTTTCATTGCAAAAACAAAAATTGTGTTGTGCAATAGCATTGAAACCTTTGTTCATGAAGTCTGCTGGATGAAAACACAGAATCTGAAAATTTTTGGAAAAAGATTTTATGGGACTTCTGATTCTCTTGATTTAATCATCCGGTAAAAGTGTTTTCATATAAAAACGTGTATAAATATATATAATTATATACATATATATTTTTTTATTCAAAAACCTTTTGCCGGGTACAGAGCGAACGCACGGTGCAGCGCGCGAACGTATCCACAATATATCTCTTTTCGTACTGTTATGAAGAGTCGCATTGTAAGTACTGGCTGGCATAAAAGTTCAGGATTTGACTGGTCGACTAAACTGCCTGACTTTGAAGATCTCCACGTTCGCGTGGCGTGCGATCATTTCTTCTACGAGCGCGACGCCGAGAAACCGACGACGGAGCATGGCGAACCGTCGAACCCTCGATGGCCGCGTGTTGTTTCGACTGTCCGATCGTCGGGGGTTAACTTAACATAATCAGGGGTGAAAGAGAGGGTCGTCGGAGGGGGCGAGAACGGAGGACGAAAGCGTTAGAGAAGAGTGGGACTGAGTCCCCGGTCCCCGAAGGGCTAATTTCATCATCGTTGTGATAACGTAACGTTAGCGAATAACGCCACTATTTAACCAGTAACCAATTACTACCGCTGTATATAATAAACAGACCTAGTACCTTTCGGTGTAAATGCGTAAACTATATCATGACTAAGTTCTACCAACGCGCGCCCGACGCGATGCGGTTAACGACGATTAGTTTTGTAAATGTGAGAGTGAGTGAGAGAGAGAGAGAGAGCACGTTGTCGAAGGGAAGGGAAGGAGGGCGACGTGTGTCATGTCGCGACAACGGCAGCTAGAAGGAAATGCAATCTTAGTTTAAGGAGAGGGAGCACCCTCGAGAGCTCGAAGGCTGAAAGGATGGGGACGGTCGGGCGTTCGGTATTGATAGACGAGTGGATCGACCAGCAAATCAAAGCGACGGCGTCTCGCGCTAGATAAATGAGAATAGATAGATTTTATTTATTGTTCCCTAGAAATCCCATACACAAAACGCATACACACACACACACACACACACACACGAGACAAAGTCATACACAAAAATACATACGCACACGTATACATGTACATCAATACATTGTATCCGAGCGGCCAGTAGCGGGCACTGCCGCGCGTAACTTCCTCCTCTAGAACTTGTAAAATCGCGTTGTCGTTTTTACGTGGCGAATCAATTGGTGCCGGAGGTTCGCTCCCGTCGTTACACGTTGAGGAAAGAAATCACCCGGAATCAATTTCGGAATTCAAACGGGAGCGCGAACCTCTCCCACGAGACGATTTGGTTGTACATATATACTTTATTTTCGTATCTATACATATATAAATAAATAAATATAAATAAATGAATATATATATAAATATAATTTGGCGATGCGCATCGATGTCGCGGCGCGCGCGCGCGAAATGTTCTTCGGGAACGTACACGTACGCGTGAAAAACAGACGCGGAACGCGTTTTTCTACGAGCCTTCGATCCTACGTTTTGCATTTCCGCCTCCCGAGAGAGCGAGCAAAGTTCCCTCTTCTCCCGCGACACACACGACGAAACCCTACTACTATTACGCATTAAGAGCGAGCGAGATTTACAATTGTAATTATGTATAAACCGAATGCTACGATGTATATTATAGATCGATTATAAAAAACACACTCATCATTATGAAAATAAATACCTATCAAAATTAATCCCCCCGCTGTACATGCGTTCTTCTTTTCGCTCTTTTATCCCGTTATCATTCCCGAAATAGCGGTGCTACATTGTCGATAACAATCTAAAATGCAGCTTCGTAGCACGTGCGTGTTTGTTATTTATTTATGGAAAGTATAAATTTAATATTTAGATTGAAAAGTAGAAAGGTTTTTGGGAAAAAAATATGCTGCTCGAGCAGGTGATCTAGATTTATATCTCTGTTTCCGCCTTGACGAAAGAGTGGGCAGCACTTCATCGAGCTTTCGGGACGTCGACAGGAACAGATATACGTCCGCGCGTGCAAAAATAAAAAACGAGGGAAAAAAATAAATTTCACCACGCCCACGCGCACTCTAACGTGGGTCGACCTCGTTTTCGCGGAAAGAAGATCCTTTGCCAGCGATGCCGGATCGTTTATCAGAGGATCTCGCGGGCGTGCACGTGCACGCCTACTAATCCGCGAGCCTCACGAAGAACGGAATCGCCTCGATGCGAAGGGTTGTTCTCGGTCTCGACGCCGAAAAGAATCACATTCGCGATACGACGATGGGTCTCTATGGTCAGCTCAGTATTTAAGTTTGCTACAAACATTTACGATTATGTAATGTAAGAATAATACGTGCCTATGTATATATGTACGAAACAAAGCTTTGAGACACTAATACAACTTCAATCAGCATTATGACATTAATATCAGTTTATTTCTGCATCTATTACTGGTAGAACTTGCATTTATTTTAATGCAAAGCATGATTTTTTAATTGAAAGAAATCAATACACAAATAAAGAATAATATTGCGGGCTATATTTATGTTATTATATAAACCAATAAAGTAAAACTTTTTTTAAAATACTAAGAAATTAATGGCAATACGCAGAATGAGGGATTGGACAGCGCTGGAAAACTGTGGAGGATGCAATTATAATGTTTTGCATCGGGCACGAAAACAGCTAATTATGTCTCTTATTGCAAACTCTTGACAAACGATTATATGTTTGCAGATCGACTTGAAGAACGCCCCTCCCGTATTCGGGGCCCGACAGCTCAGAGATCGCTCGCCAATAACTTCACCATTGTCACGCTAAAATTCCCTTCGCAAAGGCGAAACGACAGGCCGACACCGTAGCGGACCACGGTAATTAGAAGTGTCTCGCGTTCGGGCCCACCCAAACGAGACGTTTAATTACACATAAACGCCAAGCGCGCGGGCCCCCTCGTCCTCCGGAGCAAGAGGACGCACGAGAAGACCCGGTATCGCAACCCCGCTCGTCCCCCGCTTGGACCCCTGGCCTTTAATCGGCCAGGTGGATTAGATTAGGACCCTTCGATTCTCGTGCTAACTTAGGGTCCCGACTGGAGACTTAATAACTGGTGCACGAAATCGAATCCCAACTGGGCTTCAAGTGATGGTCGGAAACTTGAATCACGATGCAGAAGTTAGAGACTTGAAAACGTCTCCTTGCTACGCTTTGTTTACGGTTCCTGTGAAGTTAAACCTTGAAAAAGAACGTGTAATGCATATTAATTGTAACCATATATAATAACAAATTAAATAATTAAGTTATTCGTATGGCTGATGAAAATCATAATTAGCATTGTAAATGTGCTATTTGTAGCGATCATTGCACGTTTTTATCCTCCCATTTTTAATTGCTAATCTAATATCTCTTCGTGTGAATCCCCACTTGATTTCTTTACGTTTAGCGGATTTCAAGATTGATTTAAAAATTATTCGAAAAGCTTTTTTTTAAATGCAAAATTTAAGGTAAAGCTTCTTCGATGTTTCTATATTATTTCTCTTTCTCTTACTCCCCTGCCCTCTCTATTTCTTTTTTTTTTCTATTTGTAAACGTATACGTAGCACCGACGACGTGCGCGAGATAAATGGATTTAGCGTAGCTTCGACCTTACCGAGTACGCGCTCGCTCGGCTGAAGCTTTATTCTACCACCTCTCTCGACGCTCTCGTGCGCACGACAGGTGCAGCGTGGGAGAACGAGGGTGGGAAGGCGGAGGTAGGTGCACGGTCTCGCAGGGAGCTCGCCAGGGAGGAGGGAAAGGGAGGCCAGAGGGGACAAGGAGAAGGAAGGTAAAACGAACAAAACGGCAAGAGAGAAAAGGCGGTCTCCTCGGTTAGGCGTCGACTCGCCCATCGATCCCCCCGCGTAACCCCCCGTCGCTGTGTACCCCCGGTCCATCGCGTCCTCCGCGGATGCCTCACCATCGTTCTCGCGTGGTCGACTCCGAGCTGGCTGATCACATTCGTGACAAAGGAACTCGATAAACAAAGAATAGATAGGAAAGGAGATTGAATTGACATAATCTCGTTGTTTTAAGTTTAATCTAATATCACGGCGTTATTCTATTAGGATGGAATAATAATTTTGTACAGGTTACACATTTATAGTGGAACAATAATATATAATAAGTATCATATATGAAAAAAGCTAAAATAATAAAGGCCAATGCACTAATTGTAAGTAAACGGATAAGTTAATCAAGCGGATCGTGATAAAATTATGCCGTCGATTGCAAATTGAAATTATACAAGATGCCGGTTAAATAATCATATCTCAAAATGGTTTGAGAAACTTGTCCGCTTCATGTAATTTATATAACAATCGAAAAAACGTTGAGCAATCAAAGCTGCAATAATTTTTTCTCTGCCCTAGGTTCTTTAGAATTTTCTTTGAGAAAGGCTCGAAATTTATTTTATATGTTGCATCGGAAATTACAACTGTTGCAGTGGAAATGAAAATATGTAAATTGGATGCACAACGCAGCGTGTTAAATTTTAATACAGCTGACTGAATAACAAGTCTTTAGTAAAGTCTTTTATTCTTGTTGGATTTCTCTCTTTCTCTCTCTCTCTCTCTCTCTCTCTCTCTCTCTCTTTCTCTCTTTCAA